AATGAATGAATTAACGAATGTGAAACACACTAACAACGAAAACCGGCCCCACACAACGATTGAGTTGTTGAAGGCCCCCACGACACAAGAGATAGGTCTCCCAACACCCATAGCAAAAGAGAGAGAGAGAGATAAATTAAAGAGCATAAGAGAACGTTTGTTATATTGAGGCAAACACAAAAAATACAAAACAACTAATCAATTACACTATCCCCACCCATGAATTATGGGTTTTATTTTTTTTGTGTTAATCCAATACAACAACAACAACTAACATAAAACCAATGAATGTTGTTGCTGTTAACAAAATTATTAAATTATATTCAAGTGTTGGCATATTTATTATTTGATTTGTGGCTTTCCCCTGCAAAGCTAATTTGCCATCTCTTTCTACAAAGCTGCAAAGAAGAAAGACATTATTCCGAAATTACAGAAAATTTCCATTAAAATTTTGGCATCCTAACAAATTAAAACATGCCACAGTATCTTCACACTGCACGACGTAAACCCCAATAAAATGAATGTAATTCAATTCAATTAATTTTAATTATAAACTTAATTAGGAAACAAACAAAAAAGACTGTAAAATTTATACTCATACGTGTTTAGGACTGTCTATGAATAAGACTTTAAAATTTCTTTAATATGTTTATTTGTGAATATTCAATTCGTATATATACGAAGCACACGTGTCGACATCGGAAATCTTATACCCTACACCATTAAATGGGGATTATAACATACGTTTTTAATATACCTAAATAATAGCGTTAGACCTACCTATTAACTCCCTTCGGAAGCTGAATCGATTTAATTCTGTCTGTCAATTCTTTGTATGGATGACAATTTTTATTAGTTTAGGCCTGAAGATCAAAAAATAGTATAGTGTCAAAATTGAAAAAAAAAATAAGGGACATTTTTACTCTATGATGCAAATAAAATAATATATTTTTTTTTGCACTGAAAGAGAAAGGATAAACCGATTTTGCTCCAATTTTGCAAATGTTAATATTTGCGTCAGTGCTAGGTCAGGTGTGAAAATCCATCAAGTACCTCCCCCACAAATGTTCAAAATTTTGAATAATTACAACTCTCATAAAGTGTGATGTAAGAGTCCGATTGTCTCGAAATTTCACACATCCCAATATTTATATTAACCCAAGGTCTGGTGTTAAGATGGAATATATCCGTCCACTCCTTCTGGAACCACCCCACACAAGGTCGACATTTTCAAAAAAAAAAATTTACACAGAAAGAGAAGCAATAAGATCAGGTGCAAATATGGATAATATCGGACCACTCCATCAAGTACCTCCCCCACAAAGGGTCAACGTTTTAAATAAGCAAAACATTTATAAAATCTGAAATAAGCATCAGGTTCTCTTTATATTTCACACACCCCATTATTTCCACTAACAAAAGATCCGTTGCGAAGATGGGATATATCGGTCCACTCCTTGTGGTACCTGCCCCACAAAGGCAGAAATTTTTGAATATACATGAAGCTCATAAAAAGTTCCTTCGGAACCTACTGCATAAGGGATTAAACATTTGAATAATCATAACAGAAGTCAAAATATTTTTAAATAATCGAACATTGACTGAGGGTATACATCTGTCGGCGAAACCGACCGATACTTTTTTACTTGTTTGGATGTAAACAGATTTAAATCTCTCACTCCCATTCGAGCAATATCGCAAACTTGAGTTTGTTCGATTTTTATTCTGACCCCAGGAGCGCTCCCGCTCGAATTCGAGTAAGTTTCACTCTTTGTTCAAATTCCAGCGGGAGCGCTCCTGGGGTCAGAATAAAATTCTGGCAAATATAATTTTTCGATGTTGCTCGAATAGGAGTGAGCATATTTTCCTCGTTTTTGAGCGGGAGCAAAATTCGTTGAAGATCGAGCAGATCCTACTCTTGCCAGGCACTCTTTTACTTTTTGTCATACCATTGTTGTATTTCTACGTATGTGTATTTTTTCTGTACACGAACACACCACCCTCTTCGCACTTTTCTACAGTACATATCAACATCAAATGTGTATTTTCTACTCATGTTCACTCTTAGAGCAAACTCTAGCTCTTTTTTGAGCGATTCTGCCTGCCACTACTTCAATTTTTCAAACAGGAGTGACCAAACAAAACAAAAGAGTGAAGAGTAGAGTCCAAAAAAAAAACTCCCACTCTTCGAGCAATCCTGCACGCAAGCAAGTTTCGCTCCCGAGTGAGAATGAGCAAATTTTGTGCTATGCTTCATACTTGTGCTAGCTGCAGCAAATTGATACTTTGAAGCTAAACTCAAACATAATAACAGATTTCTTAACAGTCGTACACCCATATTTAATGAAAAACTACAAAATATAAATTGGACAGCAAAGGCACGTCAAATAATTAAATATTTAGTGGCGCCCAACGTAAGGGTCTTGTTACTCAACCACTCTATGCTAGAACAAGAAGAAAAGAAGTTGTGAGCTAAGTGATGAGAATAACTTTTGCCACTCTCCAAGATTAGGGATAATTTGAGATAGGTTCAATAACAATTTTAAGAAATTTTTTATCAGAGCCAATGGATCCAGATTTAACTGCACAAACTGCTCTCCATGCTTCTATCCCAACGAGCAACGAACAACTCTAGTTTAGTAAAAACTCTGGAAGTTTTTTAATTTTTTTCTAGATGTAGGTATTTCTACACTGATTCCGGGAAAGTATTAGTTTCTTGCGGTACGGATACCCAGATATTTAACCCGAAAATACGGGTCCAAGACCCGGATCCACCGATAAACCGATATAGACAATATAGGTATCATTTGAAAGCTAATCCAATCCTATCCAACAATTGGTCAGATGATAAGCTTATTTAAAACGGTTCCGAAGTTAAAACTAAATTATGGATTTTTTGTACCAGGTTTTTTTTTTATAAAACTCCTAAAAACTACAAAAATTACAAGAACGTCGAAGATTTATATCCAATCAGGTTTCAGGTTAAGAGAAATATTTAGATATAGCAAGTTCTAAGGAATTGCTCATTTGTTTCGCAATTTATGACAGACATAAATATTAAAATTTGTGACCCTTTATGGGTGAGGTACCAGAAGGGGTTCGCATATATATATATATATATATATATATATATATATATATATATATATATATATATATATATCGTTTTCACAATAGATCTTGTGTTAGCAAAAATGTTTGTATGTGTAAAATTTGAAGAGATTTGGAAGCTTATTATGCTTTTTTTGAGAGTTTTGTTTTTCAAAATCGTTAACCCTATGTGGGGGAGGTACCAGAAGAAATGGTCTGATCTCTACCATCTGCACAGCATATCTTGTAGTAGAAATAATGATATGAGTGAAATGTGAAGAGAACCGGAAGGTTATTTCGGATTTTATAGTCGTTTTGGTTATTCAAACCTTTAACCCTTTTTGGGGGAGGAATTGACCGATCTCTACCATCTTTATAAACGACCTTGTTTTGATGGAAATATTGAGATGTTCCAAGTCTGAATGGGATCGGATAATAATTTCGCGTTTTATGAGCTTCATGGATATTCCAAATTTTGAACCTTTGGGGGGAAGTACCAGAAGGAGTGGACCGATATATTTTCCATCTTCACAGCAGATCATGTGTTAGTGAAAATTATAGGATGTGTGAAGTATCAAGACAACCAGATGCTTATTTCAGATTTTACTATCGTTTTTTGTTATTCAAAGCTTTGATCCTTTGTGGGGGAGGTACTTGAAGGAGTGAATCGATATTATCCATTTTCGCACCTGACCTAACAGTGATGTAAATATAAGAATTTGCAAAGTTGGAGCAAAATCGATTATCCTATCTCTTCTGTACAGTAAAATGTTTTTTTTTTTTTGAAAATTTTGACCTTTTATGGGGGAGATACCAGAAAGAGTGGACAGATATTGTCCATCTCCTAACTCGATCTAATTTTGATAATAATATTACAATGTACCAAGTTTGGACGAAATCTGATACTCGAGAGTAATCGTGCGCACCAGCCGGATGGACGGAGAACGCTGATATTTGATTTTTTGCACCGAGATTTCTTATAAAATATTGTTTTATTAGTGCGGGTCTAACCCGGAATTTGAACCCTATTTCGGGCTAATTATACGGGTACCCTAACCCACAAAACTTTCAATAAACTTTTAGGAGAGTCATTGGAAAACGTCTTGTAAAAATTACTATTTCTTGCTTTGCGTTCTACGAATTACAAAACCCTAATGAACCGGTTAACGGTATTCCAAATGTGTCACTTTACTAACTAAAATACAAACTAAATTTTGATTTGCACATTGATAATTGGCTCAATCCAACTAATAAAATACTGTTTTAAATTACAAATTCAAGATATATTTCTCTTAAACTTTGGTTCTCGCGAATCATTCATTAGTTATTACGTTTCGATGCAACGTGTTTGAAAAAAAAATCTCACAATCTATAGAAAACCATTTTTGGGGAAATTATGACAACGGAGTATTGCCATTCTATTGCATTTTCTAGCCCCACACTAGGAAATGTTGTAACAAGAGAGTTAAAATAGACCATACCCAATACAATGGAATTTAAAGAGAACACGAAAATACATGTGAGCGAGAGAAAGAGAGACTGGTTGTGGGGGTCTTATTAGCTCAATTTCTTGGATAGTTTGTCACAACAACAATTTGCCACTAATAAGAGACAACATTGGGGCACAAAAATAGCAACAAACACATGGCTGGGCAAAATAAAAACGGCACAGCACACAATTGTTCATCGTCGTTGTCGTCTCATTACGTTGACGATGGAAAGCAACCACGTAAATGAAGGAGAAAAGCGGAACACAGAAATTAAATGTATAAATATGTAATTATTATATTCGCTGTATGTACATATGTATGTGTGCAGTTCATTTTCACTTATAAGTTGTGCATGGAGAAAAATCAATTGTAATTTTTTATTCGTGGAATGAGGGAAAAGAAATACAATTTTCAACGTACAATTCATTTATTTTTTTCGGGGCGTTTTTATTCACACTCCACTCCATCATACATGGCAAAAGGAAATGTAGTTTTGTTGTTTTCTTTTCAATTTTATTTTTTAATATGCGGGTCACGTACTTTTTGTTTAATTAAATAATTTTCAATTTATATTTCTTGGAATTTCTCTTTTTCTGTAGATATATTTTTTTGTCTTTTTTTTTTTTCTTTTCATATACAATTTCAAAACGATTTAAACGGCAAAGTAAAACAAAAAACATAACACGACACGACCAAACCAGCGACCAACACCGCCTGTTTAACGTCTCGATTTGCACTGGTTTCAATTATTTTTATTATTAGGCAGAAGCAGGAGCAGCAGCAACAAACATCAAACGCAAAACAAAAACGAAAAAAAAAAACAGCAGAAAAGAAAAGAGCAAAAGCATAAAAAGAAATTGTGTTTTTTGGCACTTGAATTGTTGTTGCTGTGGATGTAGTTGCCGTTCTCGTCGCCGCCGTTGACAGCCGCCTCAAATAAAGTGGAAGTATGTAGTTGTGTTAGTGTAGTGTGTGTGTCAGCGGCTGTATAGGCAGTTTGTGAATTGTTGATTTTCCTTTTTGGAAATGATTTTTCTCTGTCATTGTACCTTTGCTTATTTCGTTGCGAGTTTTTTCTCCAGCCTTTTCTGACATACTGAAATTTCAGTAGTTGTTTTGTTTTCGCATCATTGTCGCACACACACAGTTTATTTAATCATGCTTCTTCATTTTTTTGATATTACCCTGAATAAAAAGTCAAAACAAAAACTGCAAAGATAAACATCATACAAAAGAAGAAATTGCGATACACATTAACTGGCGTAGCCGTCATTACTGGCAGCGCGGTTGTGCTCTCTTGTGCTTGCTGTTTTGGGGAGCTTGAAATTAGTTTCGTTTTTCGGTGTGTTTCTTTGTAGCAAGCTGTTGTGGGATTGCGTTTTGCGATTAACGGTAGCCAGTTCGCTGTGAGCGACTTAAGGGAAAAGGTGTGTCAAATAAAGTAGTTGCTGGAATAATATTATTTTGCGGCACCCGACTTAAGTACACGGAAATTAATAGAGAGTGAGAGCGAACTAAAGAGGGGAATTTACCGGCACAGTTAGGAGAGAGTTTTTTTTTTTTTTGTGAAGAGAGTTGATAATAGAGATTGCCATTCACGATAATTCGTTGAGTGAATGAGGTGATTGAAAAACGTAGACGGGGAAATTCATGAAAGATACATTTTTAAGGTGGCTTTTTTCGTAAAAGAACAAACGAAAACGTAATGGTAAAGCCTAGACAAAATGCATTGCCGGAAAAATAGTTTATGTGACAAATATGTAGAGACGTTGGTCACAATAGAGATATGTCAGCATAAAAATGTATGAAAACAAGTAAAATAGTATCAGTCGGTTTTGCTGACAGATGTATACCCCCAGCCTAGAGTTATGATTGTTCAAACTATTGACCCTTTATGGGGAGGTTCCGAAGCAGTTGGACACTATTGACCAATTCGCATCGGACCTAAGACTGATAAAATATTATAACGTGCCAGATTTGGACTATATCGACTACTTCAAACACTTCATATAAGATATGTGCAAATTTTTGGAAGTATGCGTGAGGTAACATATATAGCGGACCTAAGGCTGGAAATACATAAAGCGCATATTTGGCTGGCTTAAGTCATCGGCTGGCTTCTTCGTAAATGAACAAATGAGTTTTAGGTTGACTTAGTTCGATTTTGGCCCTAGGCTCCTTTGTTCATTTCCGAAGAAGCCAGCCGATGACTTAAGTCAGCCAAATAAGCGCTTTATGTATTCCCAGCTTAAGTATACCATTTTCATTCTTCATCTAATACAGATAAAAATATTGGTCTGGACAAAATTTGACATATATATCCAATTTTATGCGAAATATAAATTAAATTTCGACAAATTACATATTCATGACAGATTTCTAGTTAAGAGAAATATTTAGATATAGCAAGTTGTAAAAAATCGCCTACTTGTTTCGCAAGTTATGGCAAATATAGGTGTTGGGAATTGTGACCTTTTGTGGATGAGGTACCAAAAGGGGTTCGCAGTTATATATCATCTTCACAACAGATCTTGCATAAGCAAAAATACTTAGATGTGTGAAATTTGAAGAGAGTTGGATGCTAAAGCTGGAAATACATAAAGAGCATATTTGTCTGGCTTAAGTCATCGGCTGGCTTCTTCGGAAATGAACAAAGGAGCCTAGGGCCAAAGTCGAAGCCAAACTAAAACTCCTTTGTTCATCTACGAAGAAGCCAGCCGATGACTTAAGCCAGACAAATATGCTCTTTATGTATTTCCAGCTTAACTTCGTTTCCGAGCCGTTTTTAAAAATCTTCAACTTTGTTGGGGAGGTACCAGAAGAAATAGTCCGATCTCTAGCATTCTTATAACAGATCTTGAAATGTGCCAGGTCTGAATGGAATCGGATGTTAATTTCGCGTTTTATGAGCCTTATGAATATTCGGAATGTTGACCCTTTGGGGGGAGGTACTTGATGGAGTGTACCGATATTGTCCATTTCTGCATCTGACCTAGAACTGATGCAAATATTAGGATTTACAAAGTGTGAGCAATATCGGATTATTCCTTCTCTCTCTCTCTCTCTGTGTAGTAAAATATATTTTTTGAAAATTTCGACTGTTGACTTTTTGTGAGACTGCCTCAGAGTGATTACCATTCAGTGCTGCTTGATAGGCCTGGCGATCTAGAGGCTCTCTCTTAAGCTGGGAATACATAAAGCGCTTATTTGGCTGGCTTAAGTCATCGGCTGGCTTCTTCGGAAATGAACAAAGGAGCCTAGGGCCAAAATCGAACTAGGTCAAACTAACTCCTTTGTTCATTTACGAAGAAGCCAGCCGATGACTTAAGCCAGCCAAATAAGCGCTTTATGTATTTCCAGCCTTAGGCCTTAATGATCTAGAGACCTTTTTGATCTAGATCATGAAGTCCTTTTCTTACTTGCCTGCGCGGACGACTCAAAAATGACTATCAAATATGACCCCTAAGACGTTGGGGTAAATGATGAATCAAGCGCAACCATAAAGGTAAGAATACATAAAACGCTTTTTGACTGGCTTAAGTCATCGGCTGACTTCTTCGTAAAGGAATAAAGGAATTTTAGGTTGACTTAGTTCGATTTTGGCCTTACGCTCCTTTGTCCTTTTCCGAAGAAGCCAGCCGATGACTTAATCCAGTCAAAAAAGCATTTTAAGTATTCTCCTTTTAATTATTCGTTTTTGTATATACGAATGTGTCTATTGACATAAATACTACTGCTAAAAATCGTATGAGATCGCTTTAACGGTAAAAGAAAATTATATATTTTTGACGATTTTACGATCCTCATTGTTCTCGCGATCTATTGTTCTTTGTTACAATATATTTTTATACCCTCTACCTTGAAAAGGATGGTATATCATAACGGTATCCCCCGATATTCGGTATTTATGATTTTCGCCACATTTTTACACGGATTTGTCTAAATATTGGTATTTGTAGTTCATAATGGATTCTAGCTCCGGTGGCGAAACATTATGTGCGTAGGTCCACGTTTTTGTATAGCCCCATATAACGGTACCTTGCGATATTCGGTGTTTTGATGATTTTGGTCCGGCAGAACTTAATGGTTTTTTACTTCTTATAGTATATAAAAGTGGGGGTTTTCAAACCGTATTTTTCTAGAGGGGACAAGTTGTGAAATTTGAGTGTTGTTAATGAAATATATATTATTAAATTGTATATCAGATGTTAGCATGAGATTAGCTAGTATAATTTTGTCATGGTATAAACGTAGCCTTATTGCCGAGCTTGCCCCAGCTGCAACGGAACGCCTTTCATTTGGAATGTCATAAAATTCGTAAACAGCTGATTTGTCATACTTTCCATACGTCACGTTAAGGAATAATTGGTTATTTATAAAAAAACGCGACAGTGTTGTAAAAAAATGATGCAAGGAGAACATAGCATAAGTCGAACAATCGACTATGAATAGTCTAGTACTCGGTTTTCACCCAAGTCCATAGTCGAGTTCGAGTTTCAGAACTTTGAGCACTCTAAAAGTCGATTAATCGAAAGTCGACTTACATATCCCTATGATAATTGTTTTATTGTTATTAACACATGTAATTCCTTGGTAGAAGAATATAGGTAGATGAATCAACGCTTGGGAATATTGAAATGTCAAAATCGTTTAAATGTTTTGTCAAAAATAAGTAGATTTTTATATGTGTTCTCATACGATGCAATTCAAATGTTGATATGATATACATTTTTCAACGATTTGTACAAATTTCAAAAAATTTCCATTCAACATTTTCGATTCCAAAATCAGTTTGACAGTTCATTGTCCCAGCAGCTGTGACTATGCGACTACCTGTATTCTTCTACTATTTGGAATGTCACAACATTTGTAAACAGCTGATATGTCATACTTTTCATACGTTACGTTAAGGAATAATCGATTATTTATAAAAAAAAAACGCGGCGGTGTTGAGTTCCGTGCTCTTTTAGTGAATGTGTTCAGTTTTCCTCATGCCTCATTCGTAAACAACAGAGTGCCCCGGGAATTTGCTTTCTGTTTATTTTTTTGTCAAGTATTCCTTTTTGGCCTTCACATTCGTTTCGTTGGGGACGTCTTTCATTTTCGTTCCATATTTATTAACACATGTATTTTTGTAAAAAGAATTAGACCAAAGCCGGCAAAATGAAGTTTGTTATTGAAAATTTGAGTAAAAATTCAGGACGTTTGGGTTATTTGGTCCAACAAGATACGGGAAAACAGTTCAAGACCCCGCTATTATTACAAACAACAAAAGTGAGTTATTTTTTAACCAAACGTTTGCCAATAATCTGTATGAACATTAACATTCTAGGGTGGCAGCATACCTTATCTCTCACGTGAAGTATTCGATCATGTTTCCAAAGATTGCCATGTCCTGCAAATGTCGTTGGCCACCATGGATCATATGAAGGAGGCATTGATGCTATTCAAAGGCGGCCTTAGTGGTTTTGTTGGTTTCAAAGATTATCCCACCGTCCTGACAATACGTGATCCCTGTGAAACAATGCCCAATGGCTCGAATGACAAAGATATTGTGCCCTTGTTTACACGTCGCGGCAAAGAAATATTAAGCCCTGAAAAATATATTGAACTAGTGGAAACGTTTAAACCGGATATTTATCAAGGTCTTAATGATGCCGACACAAATTTCGATAGCGCCAAAAAGAGAATACAAAAGTCAGTGGATCGAACTGAAATATTTATGAGATTTTGTTATGAACAACACTCAAAGTCGGAGATATTAAAGAAATCATGTCTTTTTGTTCCCATTGCTGGAGGCTATAACACCTTTAATCGTTCGCAATCTATAAAAGATGCTAGGGCCAATGGTGGCGACTTATGTGGTGGCTATATATTTGAGGGTTTCCATAATTATGGTTTGTCAGCATCGGAAGTTACCTCGGAACAGTTGTTACCCATAATGACTCACTGCCTTAAGGAATTACAGGCTGATAGTAAACCCATTATGTTACCGGGTGCATATACACCTCTCTTGGTATTGGAATTAATAAAAATGGGCGTAGATATGTTCGACTCATCCTATGCCTATTGTGCTGCTGTGAATTTCAAAGCATTGTCATTTAGTTGGGAAGAAAAGGAATTCAATGTTAATGATACACCATTTATTGACATCACTGATGATTGGTAAGTAGAATTAATAGTTTTTAATTTTTCATTCTCCAAATTGTGACCGATCGATATTCTTTACAATGTTCGGCCGTGGAGGAACGCTTACAATGTATCCTAGGTTTGAAATATTAAACCAATAGGACTTGGATTGTTAGCGAAGATTTTTCTCTATGGTTGTGTGCGGTACAAACTCAAATAAATTTTTTTAGGGTATTAGCGACTTCAGCAGTGTTAGTCCTACAAAGACCTGCCGTTTAAAGACTTACCTCTGGACCTGGATTTTTAAGATGTCTTCTGGCGTGCCTGTGTGGGGGAACCAGCCTATAAGGTCATATAAATTGTTGTGCTGATGTACCGTCAGAATTTCGCCATTTCCAAATGATCCTTTTTATACCCTCCACCATAGTATGGAGGGTATATTAAGTTTGTCATTCCGTTTGTAACACCTCGAAATATACATTTTAGACCCAACAAAGTATATATATTCTTGATCAGCATAAAATGCAATGTCGATTTATCAATGTCCGTCCGTCTGAGGAAATCACTCTAGCTTCCGAACGAAATGAAGTATGTTGATAAAATTTTACTCAAATGTGTACTATGTCTGCAGGACTTTTGGTATTGAAAATGGGCCATGTAGGTCCACGTCTTCGTATAGCCCCCATATAACGGTACCGCCCGATATGCGATATTTTGAGGATTCTAGCCACATTTTTTACCGGAATTATTTCAATTTTGGTATTTGAAATTCGTAATGGATACTACATCCTAAGGCAGAAAATGAGTCATGTAGGTCCACGTATTCGTATAGCCCCCATTTAACGGTACTTTGATGATTTTAGCGACATTATTTACCGGAACTTTTTTAAATTTGGCATTTGAAGTTCGTAATGAATACTATAGCCTATGACAGAAAATTGTCTGTGCAGGTCCACGTCTTCGTATAGCCCCCATATAACGGTACCTCCCGATATTCGGTATTTTGATGATTTTAGCGACATTATTTACCGGAACTATTTATAAATTTGGTATTTGAAGTTCGTAATGAATGCTATAGCCTATGACAGAAAATTGTCTGTGCAGGTCCACGTCTTCGTATAGCCCACATATAGCGGTACATCCCGATATTCGGTATTTTGATGATTTTAGCGACATTATTTATTTTAAGATTTTAACAGAATTTTTAACGGATTTAATGGCAAATTCATTCCAAATGGTGGAGGGTATTCAAAGTTCGGCCCGGCCGAACTTACAGCTTTTTTACTTGTTATTTTATTAATTTATTGCACTAAATAATTATTTATTAAATTGGTCACTCAAAACTTTTTAAACATATTTTAAAAATTACAGCCTTAGAGAAGACTTTACACCCTTGCTAAAGGATTGCTTGTGTTTGGCATGTCAGAAACACAACCGAGCCTATATTCACCATTTATATAAAACTTCGGAACTTTTGGGACCAATACTGTTAATGATGTAAGTATTTTGACATTTTTATTTATATCTCGTAGTAATGGTTGTCTTCTATTTTCATTTACAGCCATAATTTACATCACTTAATGCAATTCTTTAAGAAAATACATGAATCCATTGCCGCGGATAGTTTAGATAATTTGATACAACTAATAAAATATCAAGGTGGAGACAAAGTTGTAGAATATCGTGTAACTGCCAATACTAAAGTTATTAGTAAAGCTGGTCTAGGTAAAGGATTTGTCGAGAGTAAATCATAGAAACAAAACTGACAAAAATCAACACGTATAATTTTAAAGCTATTTGTACTTATACAAATAAATGAAAACACATATGATAAAATAACTAGATGACATTTAAAAAATAATTGTAAATTTGACTAAACACATTTCCAGTTTCTGTATTAATAGTTTGTATAATATCCTCCTCTTGCAATTGATCATATAGTTGTTTTGCTAAAAATATATAAAAATCCATTTAAAAACAATTTTACGTACAAGATGCATTATTTATACTTACCTCCCACTGGAACATATCCAGCCAGTTCACAAAATCCTATATTGTAAGTGTTGAGATTTTTTACAATACAATATTCTTGCCTTACAAAAACAAATACTTTTAACATCTTTTCTTTGCTTGGAATCCTTTCTGGTGTTAAAAATAAATTATGGGGCATATTGTTTGTACACAGCCATTGCAGGAATGCATTTAATTTTTGTACTTTTTTAAGTATTATAGCCTCTGTATCTTCCGCCTTAAATTGGAAACATATGGCTTCGGTAGGCATGTTTGGAGATATACGCAAAACCTCTGATTGGCTGAGAAATTGTAGTTCCTGAAAAAAAAAACCGAAAGGTAGTATCAAAGTCAGAATCATTAAGAAAACTCGCACTATAACTTACTGCCCGATCAATATACAATTCTTGTTCAATAAACATTAAATGCAAATGTAAATGATTTACAGATGCTAAAGCTCCGGGACTGTTGTAACCAATGCGGATATTACTTTCGCCATTCTCAATTAGGTTCATTAGAAAATCTACACAAAATCTCAAAGCTTTTTCACAAATACGTTGTGGTAAACCCAAGTGAACATCAGGACAAATAAGCGTGTGATAACGTGTCAGGGGACTGTTGTTAATAATCATGGATATCTTACTGCCCTCATATTCCACATTCATTAAACACTCTTCTGGTTTAATTTTCTTAAAATTAAATTTCTTTTCATCGAATGCAGGATCCAGTGATAGAATTGTTTGTGGTGCTCTACGCAGGGCAGTGCGGTCAGGATTGAACTGAAATCCAATTTAGGTTTTTACTTATATTGTTTATGGTACGTCTATATCCACATACCTCTGAATAAAAACCATAGTTGCCTGGAAGAATTTTACTTTCGGTTACATTTAGACGATAGGCAAAGATGTTCGGAACGGATTGTAATTGTTGCCACTTTTCCTTTAATTCATTTAACAGCAATTTGCTTTCAATGGTTTTGGTGGACATGGTAAAGGCGGAGATGTTCCTTTTTGTCGCCAGAGAAAAAACATATGTTTTTGTTTACCTATGAAAGGGCCATATGTTTTTTGTTGTTTTGGGTTAGTAGGGATGTATAAGCTGACTTTTGTTTTGCCGCGCAATTGTGTTAATACTATGTTCTCATAGGAATTTGAATATACAGGGTGAGATGAAAAAACTGCAACCAATTTCAGACTGCTGTCATTTCTAAGCCACTCATCCGACTCCTGTTAAAATTATTCCAGTGACAGCTCATTATATTGTTTACAAGCGTACAAAAGCATTTTGGTGTGAATTTTCCAGAAAAAAGTTATTCGTGATGGAATTCAAGCGTGATAGTTTGATTTCTTTATATTTGAAAAACTAAAGGTGGCTATCGTTAGAACATTGCTCGTTAACATGATACTGGGTACAAGCATGGTACAATGAATTCAAGGTAGGGCAGAACTACCCAAGGTAGATGTACTAGGTAATCGCATCAGCCCAGCTGACGGCACCATTAAATGTCAAAACAAATTGTTGTAATGAAGAATTCGCCCTAAATGAATGCAACAACAAATTTGTTTATGTTGTCTTCCCTAAAAGTACCTTTTTATAATATTTCAAATAATTTAAGAGCAAGTTAAGAGTGAAACCAGTAAAATAAATAAAAGAAGATGAAGGAAGGAGGTTAGAATGGAGTGTAGCTTTAAGAAATAAGTTAGCCTCAACAACTAAGATTCCCAAAGCACATCACGGGAGGTAGTGCAAGAATTCGACTCTTGTCATTTGCAGTTCCGGAAAACTTTCGGTTTAAACCAGTAAAATATAGTCATTATAAGTTTCTTGGTTTAAAAAATATCGCAATACTACAATTAATACTTATTTTACTCTAATTTGTTTTACAATAAAAACTTTTATTGCGACGTTCGTTTACGACGAGAGGCACACAAAATAAAATGTAAACAAACACCTCGTTTCTGATTGGTTGAAACAAATTTGCCGCAACCTTTAAATGTCATGGCGAATCTATGTTTTTCGCCTTAGATGCCAATTTTGACATTTGAGGGGACCACAAAAGTTGCTTTGTTGTAGCAATTCGCCGATGCGGTTACCTGTTAGATCTACCTTGGAACTACCATATGATTTCAATTTTTTTTTATTTTTCTGGCTTAATATGTAAACTTCATTTGTTTATGTGTGCGTATTCTTTTCAATAACAAAAACATTGTTCAGAAAATATTCAAATTTGGGTGTTTTCAAAATGCTTATGCATCGACGTATGCATCGACAAAGTGTACAGTTTTTGTCGCGAAATGAACCATAAAAGATATATAGAAAATGAGTTAGAAAAGAAATTTTGACATTTCATTCAGTTTTCGCGATTTTAAATTATTTATTCAAAATAAATGCAACAAGTTTTTTGCTTTTTTATTGTTTTGATAGTGATTCTGACATTAGGTGTGTCTGGTTACTTTTCCTGCAGGAATTGTCCAGCAAAATCTTTCTGAGAGAGTAAGGTAGTTTTATTCTCTTTTGCAAGGAAAATGCGAAAAGTAAACAGACGGTATTCCTGCAAAAGCTTGCAACTAATCAGCTGATTTGTCAAACCAAACCAACCACCAATTTTACAAGTTTTTTTTAAATAAAAAGGAAATTAGCAATTAAACAAAAATATGAGCAATAAAAGAAAGATAGATTTTATGTGTTCCCCGGAGTCCTTTCAATCTGTTGCTAATGGCGTTTGTCTAAAAACCTTGGAAATATCCTTTTATTTTCTTATTACATATTAATATTTACGTTTTTCACATTTTGTAAAGTTTATCTCAAAAAAAAAAAAACAATTAGTCTTGCCCATTCCAAAAAAATATTTTCAAATTGAAAGCACAAAAAGATATAAACAAACAATAGAAAACATCTGATTGAATGTCGATGAATGTGCAGAAGAAGAGTTGCAAGAGATTGCAAGAAAAAATGTGTCCAGCAAACTCTCACTGAAAGAACTGTCAAAATTTCTCTCTCCGACCGCTCTCTTTTGCAGAACTTTTGGGTTAACAGACGACTTCCAGTAACAATTTGTAACAATTGTTACCAACTTTAGGGTAACCAGACACACCTATTACAAGCCAAACAGGTAGACCTCTATACTTGCAATTTTTTCAAAGTTAGCCTACCTTGTATTTATTGTACCATGGGTACAAGTGTACAATTTTTGGGTGCTTTCCTACTTTTTTTGTAAAATAATTTTTATACCCTCCACCATAGTATGGAGGGTATATTAAGTTTGTCATTCCGTTTGTAACACTTCGAAATATACATTTTAGATCCCACAAAGTATATATATTCTTGATCAGCATAAATTCGATGTCGATGTAAATGTCGATTTAGCGATGTCCGTCCGTCTGTCCGTCTGTGGAAATAACTCTAGCTACCGAAGGAATTGAAGTAGATTGATAAAATTTTACTCAAATGTATGTTATGTCTGCAGGACTTTTGGTATTGAAAATGTGCCATGTAGGTCCACGTTTTGGTATAGCCCCCATATAATGGTACCTCCCTATTTTCGGTATTTTGGTAATATAAGCGACATTATTCACCGGAAATGTTTCAAATTTGGTATTTGAAGTTCATAATGTATACTACAGCCTAGGTACATTGAAGAGAAGGTAGGTCAACTTTAAAAAAATTGCAAGTATAGAGGTCTACCTGTTTGGCCTGTAATGTCAGAATTAGTATCAAAACAATAAAAAATCAAACAACTTGTTGCATTTATTTTGAATAAATAATTTAAAACTGCGATAACTGAATGAAAAGTCAACACTTCTTTTCAAAATCATGTACTATATATCTCTAAAGGATTATTTCGCTACAAAAACTGTAGATTTTGTCGATGCATACGTTGAAATAAACATTTTGAAAACACCCGAATTTGAAGTTTTCTGAACAATTTTTTTGTTATTGAAAAGAAAACACATACATAAACAGATAAAGATGACATATTAAGCCAAGAAAATAAAAAAATTTAAATCATATGGTATCATAGCCCTACCTTGATATCATTGTACCATGCTACAGCCTATGACCGAAAATTTTCTGTGCAGGTCCTCGTCTTCGTATAGCCCCCATATATCGGTACCTCCCTATATTCGATATTTTTAGCTACATTATTCACCGAATTTTTTATTCAATTTTAGCATTTGAATATTGTAATGCTTTATGAAAAAAGTTGCCTATGCAGGTCCACGTCGTCGTATCGTATAGACCCTAATATAACGGCTACATTTGGCATTTTTAATATTTTAACAGAATTTTTAAGGGATTTTATTTTTCAGAAAATTGCCAAAATCGTTCCACATGATGGAGGGTATTCAAAGATCCGCCCGGCCGAACTTACAGCTTTTTTACTTGTTCTCAATTAGAAACCTGAGATGAGTATGGAATTTGTGAATTGGTATTTATTTTTTATTCATTTCAGTAACTTTTTACTGAGTAAATATTTCTGGGAAAGTAAACGAACGGCCCTATATCCGATGAACACTAAGAACACATGTACCATTGTAGAAGAATACAGGTGGTCGAATCCATTCTTCTACCATGACATGACATGACGACTGAAATGTCGTCCATGTGTCACACGATGTGTGCAACTTTAACATATGGAAAATTTGACAGTACATATGTAAAATCCTTAACGTGTGATATCTTTACTAATGTTGTCTCGAATAACTTTTATCTGATGGATCTATATGATTTGACATCCATTGGATCTTTTCTAGGCTTAGGAAACATTACTATTTCAGATTCTTTGATGTTAAATATGAATAAAAATAGCAGTTTGTAATAACTTGAGCATGTTGGGAGTAATAAGACCAATAATATACAAAAAAAAAAAAAAAAAAAAAAAAAAACAATGAAGCACCATTCCGATTAAAATATGAATCAATTTTTTTTTTTTTTTGAAAACTATTTACAACAAAATAATTTAAATGGACAAATGAATTGATTTTAACAATGATGTGGTAAACCGAAAAAACAACAATGTAAAGACGACGAGAAGAATATTTAAAATCTTCATAAAAACGAGAGATTTAGGCGTGGATAAGAAAACCTTGACCATGTTGGGGATGGACGGGGGCCAAATGTTCCTCTTCAATGATTTTCTTCTTAGGTGTATAAGGATTGTGTTCTGGATCAGCATTCAATCTGGAAAATAACAAAATTAATGTTGGCTCATTTTTGAAGAGTTGGCAGACTCACTGATAGTAGTTGACAGCCTCCTCGCACTTGACATTGTACCACCAGTCACAGGCGAATTCTTTTTGATTGAAAATAGTACCATTTGTACACAAGAACGATGCTCCCTGATCTCCTTCACGGCCATCGTGACAGACGTGATAGGCTTGGCAGCCGGTCTCCACATTGGCATACATGCCAGGCACGGCCGGGACATGGGCACAAGAGAACGAGGTGTGAGGCACTTCATGATAAACCGGATAGTCGACACCTGGCACACCGGGTATTTTATTTAAATCTTGTTTTTCCTCCTTATGATGGGGTGCTTCGGCGGCTGGCGGGTGGAAAAGATGTCCATAGGTCTGCAAAAGAAAAACAACAAAGAGGTGTAATACATTTTGTTGCACTGATGATGATTTGTGGTTATTTGGGCGGAATCAATCTACTTTTGTATTTGGCCTCCTGACTGCTGGTTTTGTTTACCAACAATTCAATTACAAGTGCGGTTGCGGTTTTTCACAAGTTATTTTCATTTGGAAATTGTAGCTATTGTTTGTGATACGGTCGATTGAGTTTTTCTTTTCATTATCTGATGTAACAAGTATTTAAGGTTTTACTGAATACCATATTTTGTGTAATGGCCTAACGCTTGTGGCATACTTTTTCTTCGATTATGGCTAGAATGATTGGTACTGTAAATCAACTATATCCGTCTACGCCGTATACAGGGTGAGTTGAAAAAACTACAACCAACTTCAGACTGCTGTCATTTCTAATCCACTCGTCCGACAGCTGTTAAAATTAATACAGTGGCAGCTCATTATATTGTTTACAAGCGTACAAAAGCATTGAATTTTCCAGAAAAATAGTTATTCGTGATGGAATTCAAGCGTGATAGTGTGATTTCTTTATATTTGGCTGGAAAACCACAAGTGGCTATCGTTAGAGCACTCCAGCATTTAAATGTGAAAAAACTTTTGTGACTCGTATCATCGCTCGTTACCGTGATACTCGCAGCGTAGCCCGACGTCAAGGAAGTGGACGGAAGGACAGGAACATCAACAGAAATGGTTCGAAAAGTAAAGAAGCGACTTGACCGACACCCTCGTCGCAGTGGCCGAAAAATGTCTCGTCAGCTGAACATGTCGCAATATTCCATTCGGCAAATATTGAAAAATGAGCTCGGGGTAAAGCCATCGAAATTCCAAAAAGTGCAAGAACTTAGGGTGGAAATACGTAAAGGGCATATTAGGCTGGCTTAAGTCATCGGCTGGCTTATTCTTTGATAAACAAAGGAGTTTTAGGTTGACTTAGTTCGATTTTGGCCCTAGGTTCCTTTGTTCATTTCCGAAGAAGCCAGCGATGACTTAATCCAGCCAGATAAGCCCTTTATGTATTTCCATCTTTACACCGCAACATAAAGAAAATAGGCTCAAAAGAGGTAAAGAGTTGCTTCGCTTGGCCGAAAGTGGTGAACTGCCGAATTTGGTTTTCTCCGTCTCCGATGAGAAAACATTCGTTGTCCAGCAGTTTGTAAACAAACGAAATGATCGTATTTACTTGCCAAAGAAGTCAGCTGAAAATGTGCACCATCGGTTGGCCACCAGAACTCAAGCGCCGGTCATGGTGATGGTGTGGGCCGCCATAACAGCCGATGGTCGCTCTCCACTCGTATTAATCGACCGTGGCATCAGAATAAATGCCGAATATTATCGCGAAAATATTTTGGAGGGTGTATTAAAGCCTTGGGCACGCAAACATTTTGGCCGCAGACCTTGGACATTCCAACAGGACACAGCAGCGCCACCCAAGTTCGATGATGGGCTATATCGGTCCTCGGTATCGTATAGGCCCCATAAAACGGTACCCCCGTACTACTAGTACTCAGAAGGACTTTATCCCCTAAAAAAGTATTGTCTATATAGGTCCACGATATCGTATGTCCTCCAATAACGGTACCTCCCTATATTTGGTATTTTTCAATGAAATTATCTGAAAATAAACACAAGTAGTTTCTTCTGAGAACCTTAGCCCCAGGAAGAGTATTGTCTATATAGGTCCACGATATAGTATATAACGTTACCTCCCTATATTCGTACTTTGATGATTTTAGCTAAATTTTTCAATGGAATTTTCTAAAAATCCATAATAGAAGTTCTATTCAAGCCCTGGAAGAGAGATGTATCTATAGGTCTACGATATCGCATAGCCCAGATACAAAAGTACCCCCCCCCCCCTATATTCGCTATTTTAACGATTTTAGGGACATTATTCACCGAAGTTGTTTCAAATTTCGTATTTAGAGTTCGTAATGGGTACTGCAGATAAAAAATTGCGTATGCAGGCCCACAACTTCGTATGGCCTCCATATAAGGGTAACTCCCAATATTCGGTATTTTGATGATTTTAGCGACATTATTCACCGGAGTTGTTTCAAATTTCGTATTTAGAGTTCGTAATGGGAACTACAGTCTATGGCAGAAAATTGTCTATGCAGGTCCAGGTCTTCGTATAGGTCTCATATATCAGTACCTCCCTATATTCGGTATTTAGACGATTTTAGGTACAATATTCAACGAAATTGTTTGAAATTTCGTATTTGAAGTTCCCAATAGGCACTACAGCCGGTGATAGAAATTTGTCTGTGCAGGTCCACGTTTTGGTATAGCCCCCATAAAATTGTAGCTCCCTCTATTCGGTATTTTGATGATTTTAGCGACATAATTTACTGGAATTATTTTAAATTTGCTATTTGAAGTTCGTAATGGATACTACAGCCTATGACAGAAAATAGCTTGAGCAGGTCCACGTTTTGGTATAGCCCCCATATAATGGTACCTCCCTATATTCGGTATTTTGATGATTTTAGCGACATTATTTACCGGAATTATTTCAAACTTTGTATTTGAAGTTCGTAACGGATACTACAGCCTATGCCAGAAAATTGTCTGAGCAGGCCCACGTCTTCGTATAGCCCCCATATAACGGTACCCCCAATATTCGGTATTTTGATGATTTTAGCGACATTATTTATCGGTATTGTTTCAAATTTCGCATTTGAAGTTCGTAATGAATACTACAGCCTATGACAGAAAATTGTCTGTACATTCGATATTTTTACAGATTTTTTAACGGATTTTATTTTTTTGAAAATTGCCAAATTTGTACCAAATGATGGAGGGTATTCAAAGTTCGACCCGGCCGGACTTACAGCTTTTTTACTTGTTTGCTTTCATTTAATAACATTAAAATAAATTAAAAATTATGGCGTTTGACTTTGTTGCAGTTTTTTTATCGCACCCTGTAGATCAGGTACCACTAACCCCCAATTTTAGGAATTTTATAGGATAACCGATTTGGCCTCATTTTAAAATGTTTTATGGTAAAGAATTAAAAAAGAACCCATGGCTCTATTTACTTGTCCTATGCAATGTGCGCTTAGAGGAGATTTTCACAACTTCCCATAAAATCTGACATTTAAACCCATATAAATCTGCATACACTTGACAATAATCGAATTGACAATTGACAACAATCAATGCCTAACGGAAAACTAATCAAATTCCCATTTAAGGCATAGGCATTAAAAGACTTGTAATTCTTTTAACAAACATGGAAAGTCCGATACATAAAACAACTGACGAACACATTCACTCACACACCACCCGATAATTACGCACCTTCAAATATTGAAACTGTAACAAGTGGACCGGTTTCAAAACATGGTTAGCTTGAGCCAAAAACAAAAAGAAGTTATCAAATTGTCTTGAGAAAATCAAAACAAAAAAGAAACTGGCCGAAACGACACATTAATGCAAACCCAGTGATTGTGAATGAATGAGATAATTAAATGGATTGTTTAAAAGTAAATCCAAAAAAAAAAAAAAAAAACACTAAAGCAAAACGAGTAGCCACCACACAACACGAAACTAAATTGTAACGAATCGAACTTAGGCTAGGAACAATTTTATAGGTCAAAAGAGATTGTTGTGAATATGAAATGAAAATGGATATTCGCAAAATTATGGGTTTCAAAATTATTGCAAAACCCAAAAAAAAAAAAAAAAAAATAAAATAAATAAATAAATACCTACATAATAATTTGCAATTTTGTGATAAGGAAGTGATTGCCAAAAAAAGTATTTTTTGATTTTAATTAAATGTCAAATTTTACTCTTTTCTGTGGCTAAAAGAAAAAAACTTGAAACGAAAGAAGCAAATCCACTTACCTGAACTTGAATGGCATAGACAGCATAGGCCGAGACTAAACACAGACAAATTGTGGCAAGAAAACGTTGAGACTGCATCTTGAAACGACGAGAGACCTTTCAAAGATGATGATTACAACATGTAATTTTTTTTAATTTTTTTTTTAAAGAAAATTTCAACCCACCTTTTTTCTAATTTGGAAATTTAGGGGGTTCAATATATGGCTTTCCTCCTTGCGTCCACTTTTGTTTAACTTCTTTTCCGTTAGACTTGAAAACTTCAACTGATTGGCCACAAACCACCAACGAACTATCCGCCAAAGTCTTTCAATGCAATCAATGTTGAGATGTTGAGTTTATTTTTTTTTACTTTTTTTTTCAAAAAAAAAAAAAAAAAAAAAAAAAAAAACAATGCAAAAGCTTTAAATGTTTGTAAATTGTTGTTGGTGCCTGTTACACTTAATGTTGGTCGGCATGGTATGTACTTGGTACATGAGCTGCTGCTGCTAATGGTAAAATAAACTGTGCAGCATTAGTTGAATACTTCCCGAGGTTCATGTGTATGCTTTTTCAAGCTTCATTATGCTTTTTTGCGCAGCTGCACAGTGTTTGGAAACTGGTGAAATGGGTAGGTAAACTTTATAGATTTTCATTGCGATTCAGTATTCTTACCTGGCGTTTATACAAGAAACATAGTTTTGAATCTACCCGCTAGAAGGTAGCGGATGATTAACGTTTGTAACTCATCGAAATAATTATTTTAGAACCAACAAAGTATATATATTCTTAATCAGCGTAAAATTCTAAGACGTCCGTCCCTCTGTCCGCCTGTCCGTCCGTCTGTTGAAATCACGCTCGAGTCAAAACAAATTAAGATAGGACGCTAAAATTTTGCACAGATCAGTCTTTTGTTTGCAGGCAGGTCAAGTTCGAAGTTCGATGGGTTATATCGGTCCACAATATGGAATGGCCCCCATATAACCGTACCTCCCGATATTCGGAATTTTGATGATTTTAGGCACATTTTTCGATGGAGTTGGCTGAAATTCTACACAAGCAGTTCTTTGTGGGTACTTTACTCCTTAGAAGAAAATTATCTATATAGGTCCACGACGTCGTATATCCCCCATATAACTGTACCTCCCGACATTCGATATCCTGATGATTTTAGTCACATTTTTCAAAGGCATTGTCTGAAATTCTACACGACGAGTTCTCTGTGAATATTTTACCTCCTGAAAGTTAATTTTTTATACGGTACCTCTCAATATTCGGTGATTTGAAGATTTTAGCGACATTATTCACCGGAATTGTTAAAAAATTTGGTATTTGAAGTTCGTAATGGATACTACAGCCTAAGACAGAAAATTGTCTCTGCATGTCCCGGTCTTCGTATAGGTCTCATATATCACTACCTCTCTCAAACATAGATACCATCAGTAATCTAAATGTCAAATTTCAAAATTGTATCTCTATAATTTCACCCTATACCAAATATTGTAACATTCAGTGCTTTTCGCAAATTTATAATACCCTCTATCTGTTCACATAATTCCAAATGGTACCAGTTTAGAATTTTAGTACCATTTTACAATTTTCCGTAATCTTAAAGTTCGAATTTACAAAAACCCTTTGGTTCATCCATCCTGTACTGCACCAGTGACTCATTCTAAATTTGGTAGTTCATTCCAAATTTTCTAGCCCATTCCGTTCGTGCAACTGAAAGTATTCCATTTTTGGTATGTTTTAGAACTTTGTTGCCCTTTTTAAGACGTCTTTCCAAAAACCCTGCCTTATCAAACGCCAACGCACCAAAACTGACAAAATGGCGCCCAACGTTGTTATTACAATATCATGAATGTCTTGACTCTGTATTGTCCTATCTGCATATATTTACGTCTTTGTTTATTTTGCAGGTCCTACCCTGGCAGGAAATCCCAGCCGGTTTGGTGGTATAAGGGACATGCTCTTCTTTGGGAAACAGCAAGGAGGTCTGATAACAGAGCCAGATAAACTAAATGTCGTACAGATATAACGTCTGTAAGGCAGATTTCCATTAGAACAAGGAGATAGCCCTACCTGAAATTTTCGGATGCATTGAGAAAAAGCCCGGTCCCATCCAATATGGTTATTTTACTATTTTTTTTGTACATTTTCCATTGTAATATTTTTTTTTACTATTTGGGCCCATCTTTGAAATGATTTCGAAATGCATTTCTGTGTATGTCACTGAAATTAAAAGATTTATAACTATTAAAAGTGTTTATACTTTGTGGTAAAGGTATGAGAAGAAGTGGAGAAACATATCTTCATGTGAAAAATGTTAAACTTTTGGGGACAGGTAAAATCGGATGAAGATGTGTATCGAAGCTATATTAAAATCTGAACCGCCCGGTATCAAATATCATTCTTATGGAGTGCATGCGTAATAGTGCGGGACTTTAACACCAAATTGGTGAAACATATACATGGGGGCTATAGCTATATCTTAAGCGATTTTCATCAAAACTTGAAGCACTTGCTTTTAGGCTAAATCCCATCGGATATGCCAGAATTCGGTCCATTTGGGCTGATATTAGCCATTTGGTGCACAAAACGTGAAATCGGATAAAGACATATGTGGGATCTATATCCAAATCTGAACCGATTTTGACAACATTTTAAACACTTATTTTTGTTTAAAATGTTTTTGTTAAAAATGGTACCAAAAATTATTGTTGTGGAGTGCTATTACGCATGTGAGGACTTAAACACGAAATCGGATGAAGCATACATATGGGAGCAAATTTTATGTAATTGCTTCTGTGCTAAATTCCGTAGAAAGCGCCAAATTTCAGGCAATTGGACTGATATTGGCCATTTAGTGCACATTTCACTCGAAATCGTTTGAAGATATATATGGGAGCTATATCTAAATTTGAACCGATTCTCATTAATTTCAATATGGTTCGTACTTGGACCAATTGTATCGGGATCGGTGCAGAATTGTGCTCCAAATGACCAATATCAGTCCAAATGACCTGAATTTTGGCACATTCTATCGAATTCAGTCTAGAAGCAAGTACATTGATATAGCTTTTGCCCGATATAGCTTTAGTTCCCATTTATATTTCATCCGATTTGGTCTTTAAGTCCCTCACATTCGTAATATGCATTCGATAACAATGATATTTGGTATCATATATCTTATAGAGCTCGGAAATACCTTTGCCAAGTTTTATCGATATCGGATAAGATTTGCATATAGCTCTCACATATATATTCTTAATCCGAATTCAGGTTTATTGTGCATATAATCAGCCCAAATGAGATGAATTTCGCGACGTAAGCTGGTGGAACTTGGCTCCGATATATATTTTTTAATATAATGCATCTCGGAGTGATATAGCAACTCTATAGCAATGATATTTGGTATAAAAGATAAAAATATCTTCCAAATATAAGTTCCCTCTGGAACCAAATTGTAACTGCTCTATAGCCAAATGTTGATAGGTGGTATGATCTAATTCAAATAAATTCGGGAGCTCTACTAAATATGCCCGACTTTAGACTTTTTCTTACTGGTTTACTGTGTACTGGGACTGTGTTCCGTAATAAAATAATATCCGAATCTGAACCGGATTCAATACAATTTGACGAATTTATTTGTAGACCAAATTCTATCACAAATTCCAAACCTCTACAGATTTCAATATAATATAAACATTTTTGTCCTATCACATGATACATACCCCATATCGGACCCGCCCGACTTTAGACTTTTTCTTACTGGTTTACTGTGTACTGGGACTGTGTTCCGTAATAAAATAATATCCGAATCTGAACCGGTTTCAATACAATTTGACGAATTTATTTGTAGACCAAACATTTTTGTCCTATCACATGATACATATATACATATATATATATATATATATATATATATATATATATATATATATATATATATATATATATATATATATATATATATATACGTTAATATTATCAAAAGGGTACTCTTGAATATAAGAAATTATCGAAATTGTCCTGCCTTGGATGAAAAGCTTGAGGGTATAAAACAGATATGAAAAAGCTTTTTAATGTACAAATTATGTTGTGTACCCTAAGTCATACGTCACATTTACCACTCCCCCATTAACATTATGATTTTCTGTTGTGGGCATACAACTAAATCTGGCAGTAACATACATGTTGTTTTTGTACATTTGGGCAGTTGCTGTGCGGCTTGGCTATTGTTGGACTTTTACTTTCATTGGTTTGTATTTTTATTTTTGAGGGTTTTTGAGTTTTTTGTTTGCTTGTCTTTTTGCATTTGTTTTTTTTTTGTTGTTTAGTTTTATTGCATCTATGCCATTAGTCTGTTGTTTGTTTTCTGTGTGCTACTCTACAAGCATGACGAATGTAATCCATTTACTGAATTACGTGATTATCATTCAACACAGACATGTCGGCTAGCTTCCTATCAAAATTTTTATTGATAGGCATTTGGAATCTTCAGTTTAATAACAAATTGAGATGTTTAAGAAAAGGGGAAAACAAAAATGTTTAGTTGGCAACAACGACAATCGAATAACCTACACCGGGATATACAAATCAAATGCAATATGAAACTCAAACTATAGACATTTATTCTAATGTATTGGATGGGGAAATAGTTTGATAAGTTTCTTGTGATCCTGGGTCAGAATGGAAGCATATTGTTGTTGGACATGATCCCAAAATATTTTTAGTGGTGAAAATTTACCAAAAACAGAAAAATTTCCTGATTTGGCTCTAGTTGCTCTAGAGAACACAAGTGTAGACCAATCGTCTCGTAATTTGGCGTGGGGCTAGAGTTTAGGGTGAACAGAAGCCAACTGGACCATAACCTGATAGACCATAACATTTATGAAAAAACGAATTAATCTGCGAATATTTTTAATCCCGGCTTTTAATCATTACAGTGATACTGATAGCCAAGACTTCGGATATATAACAAAATAGGTACAATCTACATGTTAAAGACTGACACTTGCCAGCAAAGGATAAAATCTAAGAAAATCGCGTAGAAGTGTTCCAATAAAATAGTGAATATGGCTACAGAGGGTATATATAATTTAATACGGCCAAAACATGCCTCATCGCAATAACGGTTTTAGACACTAGGTCTCTTTGGACCAAATCCATTTCAGGACATTTGGAGTCGATCTAGCGATGTCTGTGTGTTTGTCTGTCTGATTGGCTGATGCGTACGATAATTCTTGAATGGCCAATTTTGGTATATAGGAATATTGTTATCAAACTTAGATCGAGTTCGGAGATGGAAAATATCGGTCCACTTCTTTTGGTCGAAATTTTCAAAAAAAAAAAAAAAAAAAAAAAAAAAAAAAAAAAAAAAAATGTATATATATTTTACTGTACAGAAAGAGAAAGAATAATCCAATTTTACTTCAAATTTGCAAATCTTAGTATTTGCATCAATGCTAGGTCAGAACCTCCCCACCAAGCGTCAAAATTTTGAATAATTATAACTCTTACAAAATGTGATGTAAGAGTCGGATTGTCTTCAAATTACGCACATTATAATATTTTCATTAACTCAAAGCCTGGTGTGAAGATGGAATATATCGGCCCACTCCTTCTGGTATCTCCCCCACAAAGGTCAAAATTTTGAAGCTCATAAAACGCGAAATTAATATTCGATTCCATTCAGACTTGGCTCATCTCAATATTTCCATCAACACAAGATCTGTTATAAAGATGGTAGAGAACGGATCATTCCTTCTGGTACCTCCCCCACAAAGGGTAAAAATTTTGAATATTTATGAAACTCATAAATCGCGAACTTAACATCCGATTCCATTCAGACTTGGCACATCTTAATATTTCCATCAACACAAGATCTGTTATAAAGGTGGTAGATATCAGACCATTTTCTCTGGTACCTCCCCCACATAGGGTTCAAGATTTTGAAAAAGAAAAGGCTCTAAAAATTATCACATATCTCATATACCCACTCCATAGAGGGTCAAAAATTTGAATAATCATAACAGAAATCAAAATATATTTAAATAATAAAAAATTGCTATATTTAAACTTGTTTTACTGCTAACCTAGCACCATACCAAAGGCGTGGTGGGTCTATGTTCCTTAATAAGTAAATATACGCATCTGAATCGGTTATAATATAATTTATAGTTTATTTGTAGACCAAATTCCGTCACAAATTCCAAATTTCATTAGCGATACATAACGAGTTTGGTGCATCAAATACATGAAATCGGCAGAAAATGTATATAGGAGCTATATCTAAATCTGAACCGATTTCAACATAATATGACAAATTCATTTTTGTACCAAATTCCGGTATTCATTTCGAATTTTATTTGAATCGGACATATATAGCGTGTTTGGCGCATGAAATCGGACGAAAACATATATGGGAGGTATATCCAAATCTGAGCCGATTTCAATATAATTTGGCAAGTTTATTTTTGTTCGGAGGGTCGTTAAACAATCCAAATTTGAAGACTGTATCTAGAACCGACAAAATCTAATTTTTTTGGAGTTACCTCCGATTCTGATGTTACATCTCCAGTTCCAAGTGGGATTGCAAAAATTGTATATAGCCTATAATACTTTCAGGCGATGCTGCAGTATATTTAAAACTTTTCAGGGATATCTGTTTAGCAGTTTTTGAGTCTATAATTAACAAACAATCAAACGTACAAACATTTTCTTCTTGTATAGATATGTATATATGTTTAAAACGCCATCTATACTACAATTTTATATTGCATTATAAACACTGCGTGCTTTGACCGGTAAATAGTAACATAATATAAAAAATAAGTCCCAACTAAATGAGAAATGTAAATAATACACTTAAAATGTATTTAAAAAAATACTTCTCTATGTAAATTTATTTTCAAATTTTCAATATTGATATACAAAAGGTATAGAAATTGTTTGCTTAGAAACTAAATTATAAAATAATAAAAAATATACAAAACTAATAATATTCTATCTAATACGTTAAGACATGATGATGCTGTCGCTGTTGTCCATTGGTGTTGATCCTGGAATATGATTGAGATTTCTTGGCATTACCGTCATTTACATCGAATTGATTAAATAATTCATCAAAATCATTGAATAGCTGCAAGAAGAATTAAAAAAGTATTGGTAAATTAATTATTTATTCTTTTACATCTGACATTTAGGACGCCATCTATATTTAAATGTTGTTAGTGGCAAATTTTGGGCAGTGCATAATTTTAGGCGCAAACGGTTACGAAACATCAAAAGGCAAATTTTAAAGTATGAAGAGTGGCACATATCCGTTTGACGGAGAAAGGTGTAAGAGGAATGTAAAGGGGGAAATTAGTTCGTATTAACAGTTAGTGGTGCTTTAAGGAGCTTCCAACCATTTGTAAACTTAGATATATCACTATGCTATATAAAGTATATTATATATTCTATATATATATAAAATGAAATACGAAACAGCTGAAGTTAGAATCTTGAGAATTTTGCACGAGCGTTAGTCTTGGTGCGTAGGCGTGTGATATTGATATTCACACAAAAACGATACGGAAAGTACTAAAATGTACTAAAAAATTAATACTTTGTATTGGACTGAGCTAGAAGCTGAAACTTGGAATGATAGATGACTGATGATAGGTTTTTGGAAATTCGAACATTAAGGTTACGAAAAGTTCTAAAATGGTACTAAACTTCTAAAATGATACCATTTGGTATTATGAAACTTGATATGATAATCAAGGTTGGAAAGTGTGTTTGATACATGAAGGTGGTTTTTAGAAATGTGTACTAAGTGTACTAAATGGTACTAAATTTGGGATTTTGAAAAAAAATGTTGGGATCCCCGTTTGATAAAGAGTGGTGTTTTTAAATGTGTACTACAAGTGCACGAAAAGTACTAAATAGTTCTTTATTTGGTATAATTTGATATTGGGTGAAAAGATAGTTCTTGAAATCCTATATTTGGTATTAGATTCGCTGTTTATGGGTAGCCTGAACATATGGAGGTGGTTTCGAAAATGTGTACTATAATTGTTCGAAAAGTACTATGTGGTACTAAATTTGGTACTGGGTGAAGGCATAGAGGTAAAATTCTGAAAATTGATATTTAGATTAATGATGATATCTGTGTTTGAGATTTGGAAATGCGTACTATATTCGTACGAAAAGTACTAAACGGTACTAAATTTAGTATTGAGTTAAGGGATAGAGGTGGAATCCTCAAATTTGCTATTGAGGTCTCTGTTGGTATGTGGAATTGGGATATGGAGGCTGTTTTCGAAATGTGTACTATAATTGTACGAAAAGTACTAAATTTGTTATTGGGTGAAGGGATAGAGCTGGAATCCTGAAATTTGATATGGATGTTACTGTCAGTGTCTGTGATTGAGAAAAAGAGCTAGTTTTTGCATATACGTGCTATAATTGTACTATGAGATACAAAATTTGGTAATAAGGGAAATTTCAGAGTTGTTGAGGTCTCTGTTCTTAAGTTCTTTCATTTGGAAGTCTAAAACTATTTTAACGTCTACATGTGAAAATCTAGAAACCAACAGTGACCTCAAAATTACCAAATACTAAATTTAGTACCATTTAGACAAATTTAGTTCCTAGACACCAACAGTGATCTAGTTGGGAAAGATGTTAATAAAAACTAACATTATGGTTAATAGCAGGAGAGTTAAAACGTGTTGACAGATAGAACATGAAGCCTTTTCAGTTTAGGTTTATAAAGTACCAGTTTTATAGCTAATAAGAGTCAGATGAGGTAAATTTATAACAAAACGAGACAACAACAAGTACAAAAGCAGTAAGTTCGAGCGGGCCGAACTTTGAATACCCTCCACCATTTGGAACGAATTAGAAAATTTTCAAAAAAATAAAATCCAATAAAAATTCTTTTAAAATCTTTAAAATATCTAATATACGAAGGTGCCGATATATGGGGGGATATACGATATTGTGGACCTATAAAGACAAATCTATGTCTGCGTGTAAAGTACTCACAAGGAACTCCGTGTGTGGATTTTCAGACAATACGATTGGAAAATGTGGCTAAAATCATCAAAATACCGAATACCGCGGGGTACCGTTATATGGGAGCTATACGTTATCGTTAACCTATATAGAGAATTCTCTGTCGGTGGGTAAAGTGCTCACAAATAACCCCTTGTGTACAAAGAACCCCTTGTGACCATACCGTTGAAAAATATGGCTAAAAACATCAAAATACCGAATATCGGGGGTACCGTTATATGAGGACTATACAATATCGTGGATCTATATGGATAATTCTCTGCCGAGGTATAAAGTACCCACAAGGAACTCCTTGTGTGGATTTTCAGACAATTCCGATGAAAAATGTGGGTCAAATCATAAAATACCGAATATCGGGGGGTACCGTTATATGGGGGATATTCGATATCGTGGACCTGTATAGACAATTCTCTCTCAGGGGGTGAAGTACTCACAAGGAACTACTTGTGTTGATTTTAAGACAATTCCATTGAAAAGCGTGGCTAACATCATCAAAATACCGAATATCGGAGGTTACAGTTATATGGGGGATATACGATATCGTGGACCTATATAGACACTTCATTTTGAGGAGGTAAAATGCCCACAAGGGACTCCTTTTGTGGATTTTCAGACAATTCCGTTGAAAAATGTGGGAAAATCATCAAAATACCGAATATCGGGGGGTACTGTTATATGGGGGCTATACGATATTGTGGACCTATATAGATAATTCTCTGCCGAGGTATAAAGTACCCACAAGAAACTCCTTGTGTGGATTTTCAGACAATTCCGTTGAAAAATATGGGTAAAATCATCAAAATACCGAATATTGGGGGGGTACTGTTATATGGGGGCTATACGATATTGTGGACCTATATAGATAATTCTCTGCCGAGGTATAAAGTACCCACAAGAAACTCCTTGTGTGGATTTTCAGACAATTCCGTTGAAAAATGTGGGTAAAATCATCAAAATACCGAATATTGGGGGGGTACTGTTATATGGGGGCTATACGATATTGTGGACCTATATAGATAATTCTCTGCCGAGGTATAAAGTACCCACAAGAAACTCCTTGTGTGGATTTTCAGACAATTCCGTTGAAAAATGTGGGAAAATCATCAAAATACCGAATATCGGGGGGTACTGTTATATGGGGGCTATACGATATTGTGGACCTATATAGATAATTCTCTGCCGAGGTATAAAGTACCCACAAGGAACTCCTTGTGTGGATTTTCAGACAATTCCGTTGAAAAATGTGGGTAAAATCATCAAAATACCGAATATCGGGGGGTACCGTTATATGGGGGCTATACGATATTGTGGACCTATATAGATAATTCTCTGCCGAGGTATAAAGTACCCACAAGGAACTCCTTGTGTGGATTTTCAGACAATTCCGTTCAAAAATGTGGGTAAAATCTTCAAAATATCGAATATCGGGGGGTTCCGTTACATGGGGGCTATACGATATCGTGGACCTATATGAACAATTCTCTGCCGAGGTATAAAGTACCCAAAAATAACTCCTTGTGTGGATTTTCAGACAATTCCGTTGAAAAATGTGGGTAAAATCATCAAAATACCGAATATCGGGGGGTACCGTTATATGGGGGCTATACGATATCGTGGACCGATATAGCCCATCTTCGAACTTGACCTCCCTGCAGACAAAAGAGAGATCTGTGCATAATTTTAGCTTCCTATCTTAATTCGTTTAGACTGTAGCGTGATTACAACAGACGGACAGACGGACGGACAGGGCTAAATCGTCTTAGAATTTTACGCTGATCAAGTATATATATACTTTGTTGGGTCTAAAATGATTATTTCGATGAGTTACAAACGGAATGACGAACTTAATATACCCTCCATACCTTTTTTGGTGGAGGGTATAACAAATGTAGAACCCTCAGCCGACAGAATAATTTTGGAAGAATTTTATCATATATCTATGTTTAATTACATTCAAGTTCGTACGCTGTCTAGCTTACATGACTCTGACTGGTCAACGTATAATCGGGTAAATAATTTTTAGGTCCTCCACCGCTGACACCCTGTTGTTGTACCAGCGATACCTTTGCTCCAGCCAACGGCGTTAATGGTGAATTCAAAATGTTCACATTTTGATAGGATTTGGCCTTAGCCAGGGGCTTGTTGCCACCGAACGGTGAGACATTTTGAAATTGGGCTGCAAACGAAAATTTCAATACAAACTATTCGTAATTTTCTCAAAACAACAAAACCTGAAAACACTCACATTTATCCTTGGGTTGGAATTTCACTTGATTCAGTAGTGGATTGTGAATGCGAAACGGACTGTAGACGGGCAGAGTTACACCGTCGTGTGACAATGTCGTCTTTTGTCCATGTATTTGTGGATACAAATAGGTGGTCTCAATCGATGGTAATTCTTGATAATGATAACGTCCTTCCTGCGGTATATACCGGCCGTCCGAGCTCAGGGCAATGCGAAATACTTTGCGCGAGGGACGATTGAAGAAGGGATAGACCTGGAAAGGGAAATTTAAATGTTATATTCATATTGATATAAACTTGTTAATTTTGTTTACTTGAGGATTACGCTGTTCTGGTAGTATGCCATCCGGTACTGCAATGCCATCCTTTTGTAACTGATTCAGAAATAGTCGATCTGTCTCGAATGCTGTATCGGGTATCCTGCCACCGGCATGTGGTAAAACCTGCTCACGATAGATTTGTCGTTTCTGTAAGAAATGTAATACAACAAAGGGAGAAATGTAATGCCAAATTAAAAAGTTTATAATTTTTTAGATCTTTGGCTTTAAGAAATTCAGCCAAAAAACGGAATGTACATTTATATCATATATACCAAAACGAGGGCCTCTAAAGTCCTACAAGTTTATGTAGGGAAGTTCATAAAATATACATGCTGATAAGTGAGGCAGCCTTCTCTTTAGTTGAGAGAGTAATTTTGACACTTGAAGTACTGAGAGTTTGAAGTTACTGACAATAATTTAAATATTTTAATCAATATTTGGACAATAAGCAACTTTATTATATCACCAAAGAATTATTTTTTTCCAATAAAAATTATAATTTTGATTAGATTTTCTCAAAATTTTACAAAAGAATTATTGTCTTGCTAGATTTCATACCATGTTCTCATTAGCAATTAACACTTTATCGGTCGGAAATGGACATTCTGCTAATGCAGAATTACATGAGTCGGTTTGTAAAACAATTTTTATAATTATATAATTTTATAATAATAATAATATAATACTTCTATATCTATAAAAAGAGGAAAATGTTTGTATGTTTGTTTGTTTGTAATTTATGGACTCGAAAACCGCTCCACAGACTTTCCTGAAAATTTCCAAGTGTACTAAAACATCGCCTGAAAGTAACATAGGCTATATAAATTTTTGAAATTCCACTTGGAACTGGAGATATAGCATCAGAATCGGAGGTACCTCCGAAAAATTTAGATTTTATATGCACATATCTATTGATCGATTACATATAAAGTTTCAAAATTTGGAATGCGTAACGGAATTTGGAACAAAAATAAATTTTCCTAAATAGTCCAGACACAATAGTCCAAGGGATTGGTATCCGGAGATTTTGGTGGCCATTGTGTGCTGGAAATAAAGCGAGGAACTTCACTTTGTAACCATTCTTGGATGGCGCGTCCTGAGTGCGATGCTGCTGAGTCCTGTTGGAATGTCCAAGATCTGCGGCCAAAATGTTTGCGTGCCCAAGGCTTTAATACACCCTCCAGAATATTTTCGCGATAATATTCGGCATTTATTCTGATGCAACGGTCGATTACGATACGAGCGGAGAGCGACCATCGGCTGTTATGGCGGCCCACACCATCACCATGGCCGGCGCTTGAGTTCTGGTGGCCAACCGAAGATGCACATTTTCAGCTGACCTCTTTGGCAAGTAAACACGATCATTTTGTTTGTTTACAAATTGCAACGAATGTTTTCTCATTGGAGACGGAGAAAACCAAATTCGGCAGTTCACCACTTTCAGCCAAGCGAAGAAACTCTTTAGCTCTTTTGAGTATATTTTCTTTCTGCTGCGGTGTAAGTTCTTGCACTTTTTGGAATTTCAATGGCTTTACCCCGAGCTCATTTTTCAATATTTGCCGAATGGAATATTGCGATATGTTCAGCTCACGAGCCATTTTTCGCTTCTTTACTGTTTTTTTGCTGTTTTCTTTCGTCCACTTCCTTGACGTCGGGCTACGCTACCAGTATCAGTATCACGGTAACGAGCGATGGTACGTGAAACAGAAGATTTATTCACATTTAAATGCTGGAGTGCTCTAGCGATAGCCACTTCTGGTTTTTCAGCCATATATAAAGAAATCCCATTCTAGGTCCATGTTTTCGTATAGCCCCCATATGACGGTACTTCCCGATATTCGCTACATTTTTCACGGAATTGTCTAAAAATTGGTATATATAGGTCATAATAGGTTCCAGGTCCGGTGACGGAACATTGTATGTCTAGGTCCATGTTTACGCGTAGCCCCCATATAAAAGTACCTCCAATAATCGGTATTTTGATGATTTTTGCCACATTTTTCCACGGACTTGTCTAAAGATTGGTTTGTCCATATAGGAAATCTTTTTAGTATTCAATTACTGAATTCAGATACTTTTATATATTTTTTTTTTACCCAATGGTGAAGGGTATTAAAAGTTTGGCCCGGCCGAATTTAATGTTTTATTCTATCTGAATTTCTTCACCTTTGCCTTGGAAATCAACATCCGTTCATTTGCCAATTCTTCTAGTTTTTTTTTTCTTTTTTTTGTGAAACCCATACTTTACGACACTTGTCAAGAATGTTTTTGATGTGGTTCTAAGACCACACATCTTTGGTGTCTTTTTCTACCATTAACCAAACAAATGTCTTGCAAAATAAAATATATTGAATAAAAAAGCCACAATTGGTTCAAAACTTAAAGTACATACATTGATACATATTGCATTACATGACAACGAAATACTCGAGGTAAATTGTTGTTTGTAATAACAAATATTTCAAAAATTTGGTGTATTGTATTGGTGAAAATGTGAATATTGTTTATTGGATTTATTAAGACCAGTGGATATAAGTAAAATCCATTTTGAGGAAGCATCCATTGAAGTCGGACTTCTACGATCAAATCGAAGTGCTATTTTCCACTTTTGAGGAATTCCCAACACAAAAATTACAAATACAAACATTAGAGCAAATCCCTGGAATGCTAAGTGAAAAAGTTTTGGCAAAACAGCATTCCTATTCGACTATCGCAACAAATTTCGTTTAATGTTTTGGGAAATATTTTTCAAGGTACAATATTTAAGCTCTGATTAATTTCATGTATAATTCACAAATTAATTCGTATTTTGAAACATTTCAATTGTAATTCACTATTTTTTTTTAAATTCGAATTATTTTGTTGTTGCAAAATGGTCAGGCTTTACCCCTTTATTGTTGTTTTTATAAAAACAACGTTTGCTTATTAGTGGAGAACGATGGCAATGTTTACCAGGGGGTAAGGCAGGGAATACCTAGGTTTCGGAAAGAGCCACCAAACCTCATCAGTTCCCTTGTTTTTTGTCTGGGACATTCTCCCCAGAAGTTATTTTAAGATTTAGAAGACTTTCCAAAAGAATTTTAGTTTTATTTAATTCTTTGGTTCCTCTTCTATTGAGCTTACGATCTCGTCACTTGGATAAAAAAAAAATGTTTTTTTGCCATAGAAGTTATTTTTAAAATAACTTCTGGGGAGAATATCCCAGGCAAACAACAAGGGAACTGATGAGGATTGGCGGCTATTTCCGAAACCTAGGTATTCCCTGCCTTACCCCCTGGTAAACATTACCATCGTTCTCCACTAATAAACAAACGTTGTTGTTATAAAAACAACAATAAAGGGATAAAGCCTGACCATTTTGCAACAACAAAATACTACGGTATCCCGAAAAAACCCGACACTGTTCTATTCGAATTATTTTATTTCTAATTTGAAAATAATTTAATATGACTTAAGTTCGGCCCTGCTGAACTTTTAATTCATTTCTACATAAGGCAAATAACGCCTTTAATAGTAAAACCATCCGAATTCAATATTCGAACAAGTTCAACTATGTAAAACTAGAATATAGGAAAACGTGGACGTGGGTTTGGAAATGCGTTCAGCAAGGGTACGAAAGGTACTTATTTTGGTATTGCGTGAACGGATACAGAAATTTGGTATTAGGGCCTCTGTTCATGGGTTGCCTGGGCATGTGGAGGTTGTTTCGGAAATGTACGAAAAGAGATGTAATGTATAGAGATGGAATTTTGAAATATGATGCAGATGTAACTGTTGGTGTTTGTGGTTAAGATATGTAGGTGGTTTTGGAAATGTGTCCTATATTTGTACAAAAAGTACCAAATTGTACTAAATTTGGTATTGGGTGAAGGGATAGGACTGGAATCCCGTAATTTGATATTAGATAGTGTAGTCTAGTGTAGAGATGTAATTTATGTTTTGCAAATACGTACTGTAATTGATGGAAAAGTACTAAATAGTACTACATTTGGTGTTAGGTGGAGGGATGGAGCTGAGCGAGCTATAGTGGACCGATGTGTGTTGGTATAAATATTGAAATATGTGAAATTTGATGAGAATAGGATGCTTATTTCGCATTTATGACAGAAATACTTATTCAAAATTTTGATCTGTCGTGGGGGAGGTACAGACCATTTTTACACCAGATTTTGTGTTTAAAAATTTTGGGATGAACTTTTAAGAGAATCGGACTCTTATTTCACATTTTAAAAGAGTTATAATAATATTACAAATTTTGACCCTTTGTGGGGGAGGTACTTGATGGAATCAGTTGATATTGTCCATTTTCGCACCAGATGTATCACTGATAAAAATATGGGAATTCGCCAGGTTCGAACAAAATCGGTTGAGCCTTTCTTTTTTTATGAGGCAAATTATTTTCTTTGAAAATTTTGACCTAACTCTAACTTCGATATACCAAGTTTGGACCAAATCGGATACTCCCTTCGAGAGATTTCGTGCGCACCAGACAGACAGGCGTCGACTCCAAATGTCCTGAAACGGATTTGGTCCATAAAGACTTAGGTGCATTTTGAGTGCTAAGAACGCCTAACATGAACTGTTGAAACGAATCTAAGATTTGAAGGACGAAGAAGCGGGCATTTGCTAGTAAATATATAATTCCCTTTACATAGTGTGGTGTTTTTATATTTCGTGATATGGACCATACCTTGGTCCATATCGCCCTCTAAATATTATCCGATAACAGTGCAAAATTATAGATTTCGGTGCTTCAATTCCACGTAAAATTCTGCTATAATGACATAATTAAGAAAAAATTTGTTTTGTCACCATTTCCTCCCCTAAGAATTTTGCGATGCGAAACAGACACATAGTTTGGCACATAGGCACATAGTTAGATCATGGTGGGTCTAGGTTGGCTCAATATTTCGAGGTGTTACAAACTTTTTGGCCCAATTACAACAAAGTTTTGAAGCACTCAAAGAGTACCAGGAAAATGGGTTATTTGCTAGTTAAACAGCTGATTTTATCTCACGCCTCCATTTTAAGCGGAAGATTTCGACAATGCCATTTTATTTCTATATTCGGTCGATGTACAAAAATATGATGACATTACTGCAGCCCTCGGGTCATATTATACTTTCCACGCAAAAAACTGTAGAAAAAAACTTGCTGCCCAATGAAAAGACTTAAGAAACGAGCGCATTTACCTTTAAAACGAAAGACTTAAGACACGAACATTATAACATCTAAACTTCCATGGTAAACTTTTAATTATTCTATTTAACGTGAAACTATCGCATGTCGCCTTTAATTTTAACCAGTAAAGAAAGTCCTAAAGTCGGGCGGGACCGACTTTATGATACCCTACACCACTTTGCTAATTTAGTAGAGTTCCACATAACAATTTAAAGTTTTTATTTATAGTTCAAAGGACTAAATATGCCGAAGAATTTGTATCTTTTAAATTCTGACTTGTATTGCCCATTTGGTGCAAAAGTAATTTGAAATCAGATAAAGATATATGTGGGAGCTATATCCAAATCTGAACCGATCTCGATAAAATTTGGCAAAGATATTTCTGAGCTGTATTTGATATATTTTTCCCTGAATATCGTTGTTACGGAGTGCATATTACGGCTGTGGGTAACAAATACAACAGATCGGATGAACAAAATATATTGGAGCTATACCTATATCTGAACCGATTTCGATCAAATTTGGCATACTTATTTTCAGTCCTAATCTGCTTGTATGTGCAAAATTCCATACTATTCGGGTATGATATTACACGTTTGGTGGTGGCAAATCGGACGAAGATATATATGGGAGCTATATCTAAATTTTTACCGATTATCTCCAATTTCAATAGGGTTCGTCCTTGGGCCAAACAAATGTTGTTTGGAAAATTTCATCCAAATCGGATAATAAATGCGACCTGCATTTTGTTCACAAATATACATGGACGGACGGACGGACGGACGGACAGACGGACTGACATGCATAAATCAACTCAGAAAGTGATTCTATGGAGATCCTCAAAAGTAACTATGGGTCTATCCCGCTTCCTTCTCCGTGTTACAAACAAATGCACGAAGACATAATACCCTTACCACTATGTGGTGTAGGGTATAATAAAATCCACCAATTTTTAAACAAAAACAAATATAAACATTTACTGTGAGGTGTCAAAACAAAACAAAAAGATAAATACCTAAATTTGTAAAACAATTTCCAAATTAATTAACAAATAAAAATTCACTTACTTTGGGATTGTGTTCCACAGCGGCGCCACGTGTCGTTGATGCTGCTGCTGCCAATAAAGTGATGATCGCCAACAGTTTAAAAAGATAAGACAACATTTTCGAAATAGTTTCTTGTTGTGGATGCGGCGGTATTCGCTTAACGAATGAATGATTGAAATAAAATACAAAACTATTAACTTATTTATGTTTTGTGTTGTGTTGTTATTGTTTGTGTTTTCAATTGCACTTTAATTTTTGATTTGACATTTGTTCAATGTGAAAAAGATTGAAACCGAATTCACTACTAATTAACAATGGCAATAATTCCAATTCCAATAACAATGACAAGGTGTTGGAGATGCTAAAAACGCAGATAGAAAAATGATAAAATACTGCTGCTGCTGGAGGTGATCTTCTTGTAATTGTCCATGTGTGTGTGCGCGTGTATGTCTTTCGATAAATTTTGCTGGATCACTTGGTAGTTAGTTCGATGGTGGCAGGTGCTATTGAGTCCCACTTTTTATTTCATTACAAGATCAATAATAATCCACTTAATATGTCTCTGTGTGTGTTTGTATTTTTGTTAATTCCCGACAATTAGCGTATAATCATGGCGTTTTAGTAATCCTCGGCTTAGTTTGGGTATGACCAATTCATGCAAATATCTTGAGCGAGAGAATAGATGGATGGAAATCACTTTTGTTTACAATAAATCTCTTATGCTTTTCTTTATATTTTTTCCTTATTTGTTTTTTTTTTCTTTTTATACCCTCCACCATTTTATGAAGGCTATATTAGCTTTGTTATTCCGTTTGTAACTCCTCGAAATATTCATGACAGACACTACAAAATAATCAGGGATAGAAGAAAACGCATGTGTAAGTTCCCAGTAAGCAGTTTCAGTTCGTAAATGGGTCATCTCGGTCTACGTTTTCGTATAGCCCCTATACAGGGGGAGATAAAAAAACGGCAACAAAGTCAAACGAGATAATTTTTATACCCTCCACCATAGTATGGAGGGTATATTAAGGTTGTCATTCCGTTTGTAACACCTCGAAATATACCATTTAGACCCCACAAAGTATATATATTCTTGATCAGCATAAAATTCTATGTCGATTTATCAATGTCCGTCAGACTGTCCGTCTGTGGAAATCACTCTAGCTTCCGAGCGAAATGAAGTAGGCTGTTAAAATTCAAATCAAATGTGTATTATGTCTGCAGAATTTTTGGTATTGAAAATGGGCCATATAGGCCCACGTCTTCGTATAGCCCTCATATAACGGTACCTCCCGATATTGGGTATTTTGATGATTTTAGCGACATTATTTACCGGAATTGTTTCAAATTTCGCATTTGAAGTTCGTAATGGATACTACAGCCTATGACAGAAAATTGTCTGTACAGGTCCACGTTTTATAATCCCCATGGTACCTCCCTATATTCGGTATTTTTATGATTTTAGCTACATTATAAACAGATTTTTTTCAGTTTCGCATTTGAATATTGTAATAACTTGTGACAAAACTCGTCTATGAAAATTGCCAAATTTGTACCAAACGGTGGAGGGTATTCAAAGTTCGGCACGGCCGGACTTACAGCTTTTTTCTTCTTTCATTTTGTTTTTAAATTTTATGGAATGGAAGCAAAAAATGTCGGAAATAGCTTTGGACTTAGTTCAACTTTGGCATGAATTATGGCCTTCAAACGGCCAATGAAACCGTTATACGCTGCCCGAATGTTGCTCTGCGGTATTTTGGCACATTCCCGGCGAAGCGCATGCTTGAGGTGATCGACACTTTGGTATTTTTTAAGGCCAACCTTGCTTTCCAAAATATTCCAGACACAATAGTCCAACGGATTGGTATCCGGAGATTTTGGTGGCCATTGTGCGCTGGAAATGAAGTGAGGAACCATGTAACCATTCTTGGGTGGCGCGTGCGATGGTGCTGAGACCTGTTGGAATGTCCAAGGTCTGTGGCCAAAATGTTTGCGTGTCCAAGGCTTTAGTACATCCTCCAGAATATTTTCGCGATAATATTTAACATTTATTCTATTTTCTTTCTGTTGCGGCGTAAGTTCTTCCCCTTTTTGATATTACAATGGCTTTATCCCGTGCTAATTTTTTAATATTTGCCGAATGGAATATTACGGAAGTTGGTTGCAGATTTTTCATCTCACCCGATATTCGCTATTTTGATGATTTTAGAGACATCATTTATTCGCATTGTTTCCAATTTCGTATTCGGAGCTCGTAATGATACTACAACCTATGACTAAAAAGTTCGTATGCAGATCCACGTTTTCGTATAGGCCCCATATAACGGTACCTCTCGATATTCGGTATTTTGATGATTTTAGCGACATTCTTCACCCGAATTATTTCAAATTTCGTATTTGAAGTTTGTAATGGGTACTATAGTCGATGCCTAAAAATTTCATATGCAGGTCTAAGTTTTCGTATAGCTCCTATATAACGGTACCTCCCGTTATTCGGTATTTTGACGATTTTAGCGACATTATTCATTGGAATTCTTTCAAATTTCGTATTTGAAGATCTTAATGGGAACCACGGTCTATGAAAAAAAAATACTTATGCCGGTCTTCGTATAGCTCCCATATAACGGTACCTCCCGATATTCGGTATTTTGATGATTTTAGAGACATTATTCTCCTGAATTGTTTCAAATTTCGTATTCGAAGATTGTTATGGGTAATACAACCTATTCCTAAAATTCATCGGAATTGTTTCAAATTTCGTATTTGAAGATCTTAATGGGTACTACAGCTTATGACAAAAATTGCTAATGCAGGTCCACGTCTAGGCAGGTCCCTTCGTGTAGTCCCCGTATTAAGATCATCATTTTAACGTTATTTTTCGGATTTTTTTTTTAAATTTGTAAATTCCTTCTAAATGGTGGAGGGTATTGAAAGTTCGGCCCAGTCGAACTTAGCTGCTTTTTTACTAGTTTACTAGCTGAACCCGGTGCGCTTCGCTACCCCTTTTGATTTTATATGCATTCAAAATTTTATTTACGAATATATGTTGGATAAAGAAAAACAAATTTAAAAATTAAAAAAAAATATTGCACTAATTTAAGGCGTAAATAACCAAAACCATTAGAAAAGCAGTAACATGACATACATACACGAAGGGTTTGTCCTTTGGATTTATTTATTTCATAGCAAATACCAAGCGTGCAGGAAACTGCAATTTTTTTAAGTAGAGTGGCATTTCTATTGCAAGTAGTGAATTCGAGATAGCAACATACTTCGCCGTAATAAGCGTATTTCAAATAAATTGTTGTGTTGTTTTTTAGTGTTAGCCTAAGGCGTTGTGGGTCAATGGTTCTTATTAAAATCATATCCCAATCTGATCCGATTTAAATATAATTAAAAAAAAATTACTTTTACACCAAACTCCGCCACACCTTTCATATTTAATTGAAATTGGTGCGTCAAATATGTGAAATCGGCCGAGAATATATATATGGGAGCTATATCCAAATCTTAACTAATTTCCAATTAATTTATCACATTTATTATTATAACAAAATTCCGCCACACATTCTGAATTTCATTGGAATCGGTCATATATATCGTGTTTGGTGCATAATATGTATGAAATCGGCCGAAATATATATGTTAGCTATATCCAAACCTCAACTGATTTCAATATAATTTGGCAATTTTTGCTGGTGCCAGATTTTGTCTCTCTCGCTTTGGGTGCATCAAATATGTGAAATCGGCTGAGTATATATATGGAGCTATAATCACATCTGAGCGTATTTGAATATAATTTGTCAAATTTATTTTTGTACCAAATTTAGCCACTCATGCCGAATTTCGTTAGAATCGGAAATACGTATCGTGTTTTGTGCATCAAATATGTGAAATCGGCGGATAATATATATGGGAGCTATATCCAAATCTGAACCGATTTTAATATAATTCGACTAATTTATTTTCTAATCAAAATCCCGTTACATATTCCAAATTTCTTTGGAATCGAACATACATATCGTGTATGGTGCATAAATCGGTCGAAAATATATATGAGAGCTATATCTAAATCTGAACCGATTTTAATATAATTTGACAAATGTATATTTGTTTTAATTTCCGCTACACATTTCAAATTTCATTGAAATTAGAGATACATAGCGTGTTTGGTGCATCAAATACATGAAATCGGTCGAAAATATATATGGGAGCTCTATCCAAATCTGAACCGATTTCAATATAATTTGAAAAATTCATTTTTGCTCCCGATTCCGTTACTTATTTTAAATTTCATTAAATTTGGACATACATATCTTGTTTGGTCCACCAAATACATGAAATCGGCCGAAAATGTATATGAGAGCTATATCCAAATCTGAACCGATTTCAATATAATTTGGGAAATAATTTTTTTTAGATAAAATCTATCACACGATTCAAATTTCATTGAAATTGGGGATACATAGCGTGTTTGGTGCATCAAATGCTTGAAATCGGCCGAAAATATATATGGGAGCTATATCCAAATCTGAACCGATTTCAATATAATTTGACAAATTTATTTTCGGATCAAATCCCGTCACATATTCCAAATTTCATTGGAATGGAACATTCATATTGTGTTTGAGGCATCAAATGAACGAAATCGGTCGAAAATATATATGGGAGCTATATCCAAATCTGAACCGATTACAATATAATTTACCAAACTTATTTTTGTTCCAAATTCCGTTACACATTCCAAATTTGGAGACTGTGTCTTTAACCGATCAATAGATATGTGCATATAAAATCTAAATTTTTGGGAGGTACCTCCGATTCTGATGCTATATCTCCAGTTCCAAGTGGAAATTCAAAAATGTATATAGCCTATGTTACTTTCAGGCGATGTTGCAGTATATATGGAAATTTTCAGAAAAATCTATTCAGCAGTTTTCGAGTCCATAAATTACAAACAAACAAACAAACAAACGTACAAACATTTTCCTCTTTTATAGATATAGAAGATATTGTCTCATGAAAAGTTTTTGCCACAGCACATGCAAAAAATAAACACAATGTGTCAAGATGCAACCAATCGATGACACACGACGATGTGTGTCAGCACAAAAAGAGACGAAGAACATAAATTCAAATTTCAATTCAAATCTGCAATCATTTAAAATGCAACCCCGACAACAATGCTATTTGTTCAGCGATTTGCAGCAATCAACGATTTTTTGTTTGTTTGTTTTGCTATCCAAACATTAGCTCGTGATTGGTTTTGGTGTCGTCTTCATCCGGCGTCTATGGAGTTTTGTAGTTTAAATTTTCAAATCTTTAAAGCTTTAACGGGGGACACAATTAATATTGCAAAATATTCTTACAGATCCACAAAAAACAAAAAAGAACGGTCACGTTTTTTCGTTTAACAAATTATGGTTTGCAATCGTTTTTTTTACGAATTTCCGATTTTTTTGTTGATTTTTAAATCTATTTTTTGTTTGGTTACAATTCTGATCAACTCTATTTTAAAATGGAGTACCACTTTGTCTCGCACTGGATATTTTTTGAGTTATGCGCTAGCAAAAAGTGAACGATGTGTTTCGTACGACAGAAGTCCGTTTAG